AAAACCCTAAACCCTAACACCTAAACCCTAAACCCATTAACATACTACCTAAACACCCATTTAACAAGAAACAAACTATGTCATACGAACATATATACTACGTAATTAACATAATTAAAACATATAACAATCTAAACACATAATTAATAAAAAATTAACTCACTTAATATAACAACTACAACTTATGAACAAAATACGTAATTAAAAAACATTCTTTAAATATTTAAGTTTAATATTTTTTATAAACTAATATCATAAACCCGAATTTTCTAAACAAATATTAAACTACCAAACAAATACTCAAATAAAATAAATAAATTAATGAAATAAATACATGAATTAAATAAATTTATTAAACTAATAATTTAAATAAATAAATGATGTTAATTAAATATATTAAAAAATTAAAAAATTTGATTAAATTAAAAAAAAATGGCGCCAACCCGGATAAATGTGGCTTAAATGAAAAAATTAGGGCGCTTAACAGTTGGACCCTAATAAGAAAGAGGGAGATCCGAGATCCACCTCTTTTAGTTTTAGGTGGGAAAATGTGTCTTTAAATGTGTATATAATTATTAAAATAGAAAATAAACATTATTGAGCATCTATCTACCTATAAGACTGCTGTTTGCATGAAAGTCAAAAGAGAGGACGGTTTAGGTCACTAACCTTACCTTTGTGAACTATAATTAATTTAGTACTATCTGATTCTCACCTATAAGACGACAAGGGACTGATTTTTTCAAAAGCGACGCGAAAACACAATGAATAAGAGTCACGGGATTACATTTTCAAATCCCTACTCCTGACTTTAAATAAAAGTCATATTTATCGTATTAGTATAATCAAAGGAATGAGACTCTATACTGTATTACGTATACATATCTTGTTTTTAGAAGAGAAAATTCTCCCCAAGGGCATTCTATTCAATATTAATTCTTGAAAACGGCATTAAATTTTTGAAATTTCTATTAAGGGTGTAACATTCATTTGATTAAACTTATTACTATGCCAATGACTAATTTATTCCTTCTTAATTTTGATTTCTTTTAATCCATAAGTTTTTTAAACTGAAATTATTTGCCTTTAAAGACCTTGTAAAACTCGATCCCTGGCCATGGAAAATTCAGTGGCGGCCACTTGTAATATTTCAATTGGATCTGTACTGTAGGTAATTAAATATGAAAAAATGACAACAAAAAGGCCAAAATAATTAAAAAACAATTCCATCTTCTGGGAATAAAATTATCAGAATTATACATCCCAAACCTATGTACCTATAACTGGGTTATTTTGACTACCACCCAACCCTGACGTTCATTCCTTTTTTCAATTTTTTTTTCTCCTTCCAAATTTCAATCTTGAAAGGGAGGGATTAATATTTGTTTGAATTGATTTCATCTACTGGGTTTGAAAGTATATGGAGCGAAAAACAAAGATTAGAAGAGTAAACGCTTGAACTAGATGATGAAATTTGATTTCTTTTTTTCCCTTAAAAAAATGATATATTGTTCTTCCAATAAAAAAAGAGAAGGAAAAAAAGAAACAAGAATAGTGACTTTCAGATGACTATTAAATCATGTTTACGGAAATTTATATTAATTTGAAAGGCTAAAGTGGTCAATAGAATAGTAATAGCTTATTTAAATTAATACTATATCCTTAATAAGAATTTTCGAAAGTTTAGCGGTCCTTTTAAGAATTATAGAATTTGGCCCTTAATATAAGAAGCCTTCTCTTTAGTATTGGAGATCCTCTCTTGCAAGTTGCAACAGATTATTAATGAATTGCAACTAGATATATCTTTGGGGACTGCAGAAGGGTTTTGAGGAAATATCATCAATCTATATATGGATATGGATACTCTTTTTGAAATGAGAGTAGCTCTTCCGTTCGGAATGGGCAACTTTGTGGTGCAATACTTTAAATCTAGTGTGAATTTCTTTTCTGTATCAAATTAATTAATACTTGAATTCAATAGCAAAACTCTTCTTCGTTTGATATCAGGTAACTTATTTAATAATATAATTAAAGCCATCTCAATTCAAGAGAGGCCGTTTTATATAAAAGTAGTGTTACATGTAAAAAAAAAAGATTACAAGAAAAATGTACACGAAATAATGTATCAATCATCTTAACTAGCTATTTCCGTAATCTTAAATGGGTGTAAAACTACAAATTAAGTGTGAATTTCTTTTCTATAACAAATTATTTAATATTTGAATTCAATAGCGAAACTCTTCTTCACTTGATGTTGGGTAATTTATTTATTCATATAATTGAATTCATCTCAATTCAAGAGTAGCCGTTTTATATAGGGTAGTTTATATGTAGAAAGAAATTACAACAAAAATTTACAAGAAATAATGCGTCAATCATCTTAATTATCTCCCTAATCTTAAATGTATAACCTACACATGGAAAATATTAAAAATAAATGAGTATACTCATCTCTTGTCACTTTTCTTTATAATTTGTATGTATCATTATTATATATATAATATATTATAATTTTTTTTTTAAAAAAAACATAGGACCGCTACATAATGAATTAACTTATGGTAAACAGAGTCAATTTTAGGTAGACTTTCTAGTTTTTCTTTTTTTGGTACAATAATTGAGGGAAAAGGCTAACTGACTGAGTTCTAGAAAAATGCTTTGCGAGAATATCCTATCTTGTCTTGCTCCAACCAATGTTTAATTTACGGTGAAGCCGATGACACTAAATTTATGAACGTGTTGACGAGTGGAGATGATTATTATTAGTGATCAAGGATATATCACAAAAATCAAAAATAAAATTTAACTTCACAAATGAGAAGTGATCAAAAACTTGAAATTCATGTTTCGATTAAATTTGGAGGGAGATAGTATTACGTTATTATTTATCCAAAATGATATCTTATCAAATATTTTTTAAAAAAATTCTCTGTGTCTCAGTATAATTGTCATAATGTTTAAAAAATTTAGGTGATATTTTAAAAATTGTATCTTAAAATGGATGAAGTCATTTTCACTAAGGAGGAGTATTAATTTAATTTTGGCGCATAAATAGTATTAAGTTTTGGATGCGAGAAAATTCCAGAAGAAAACCCAAATATGAACTTTAAGCTGGAAAAAGTCAAAATGTAACAGTAAAAGTGGTCAAAGCTTTGAAGTTTGAAAGAATTATATGGTGCGATTAAGTAAGAGTATTAATAAATGCATCAGCGGTCATGTTTAAACATTGGTACTATTATAGGAAAAAAACAACATGGAAAGACAATATGTCCAGACTCCAGAGCTTGAAATTTTCAATTAGATGTACTCCAAACTCCGTACACTTTTCCTTTTTGGCATTAATTCTTTAGATCGAAGAAATGGTCTCACGGAATTGTGGGATTTGAGAGTAATGTCTGAAATGGTTCTACCATCTTTGATCATATATGCAAGGATATTGATATACCAACCTTTTTTTTTTCCCCTTCGTATTGTAACAAACTGGTCAAGAAAAGAAAAAGAGAAGAAAAACGGTACGTAAGAATGGATTACTTTCCATCTTCGATCAGCCTTGAGATGACTTTCTTGCTGACACAGATCCAACGCTTTGATTTTGACAAGAATATTAGGGATACTACTTGAGCCTTCTTATTACTCTTCAAATGAATAATACTACCATTAGGTCCATTACCACCGTGTTGATCCAGCATAAAGATTAGAGAGATCGATCCAGATTGTAATTGAATCCCTGCAAATTTCAAACTTTATCTTTTTTGGTTTTTTTTTTTTTTTTGCCCCTTCTAATTTTGATGTACCAGCACACACAATTTAAGGGCCTCCAGGCTAGTTGATAAAGTTCTAGATTCGTTGGGACTGATTTGATTTTAACATTTTCGACGATCGAGAATGAAAGCTCAGGGTATGTTTGTTTCGTTTTTTCAGTGTGTGTTTTTATGTATTTTTTTGTATTGGAAATATAAAAAGATGTATTGGAAATATAAAAAAATATCCTGAGATGGGACAATTATTAATTAATAATTCTGAAAAAACCATCAAAAAAAGGAAATAAACAAAGCTCAATATTTTACATATTGGACTAAACTTCAAAAGTAATACTCTCTCCATTCCAAAATAAGTGTCATCTTACACTTTGTACATAGTTTAAGAAACTCTTAAATAGGATAATAAAATATCCTTAACCAACCCCATTAAAAAGATATACAGCAGTAGAATTATTTCTTTCGGGGTTAATTTTAGACAAAAAAGTGCATCGAAATATGAAAACCACACTTATTTTGAAATTTCTCCATTTTGCTAAAACGACACTTATTTTGGAACGGAGGGAGTCGAAATTTCAGGTAGAATTATCGTCAAATTCAAATTCATTATAAAAAGGGAACGAATTAGGTTCATCGTTAAAATGGCCTGAATAATAACATTGAAACTTTTCAAAATTTTCACTTTTTAATTCTTTTTTCCTATTCAACCTAGAATTAACATGATTTACACAAAAAAGAAAAAGGTGTTACACAATTCATATGTACTGCAGTAGTTTGGGAAAAGGAGGAGACGATAAAAGTACCCAAAAAAAAAAAAATATATATATATATATATAATACGTATAATAAAAATTAAAAGGGTAAAGTGAAGAAAAGGAGGAGGTGTGAGTAGCACGTGCCGGCCTGCTCCAACAAAGCAGAAAAGGCCGAATCAAGATTCGACGACGGACGACCAGATCTCCCCGTCAAGAGCGGGAACTCCGAAAGAAAACCTAATCCAACGGCTGAAATTCCTCTTACCAAATCTAAGTCTCTGATGGAGCAGCCAACGGTCCAGATCAATCGTGACCGCCTCCTTGCCCCCCACTATTCTTATATATAAATTGTATTTACACGGAAAACTCGGTAGCACCGGCACACCTCCCCATAATACCCACTTTTCTATTTCGAACAAAACATTGTTCTCTTTTCTCTCTCTCTCTCTCAACTTGAAAATCAAGAAAAAAAATTAAAAAAGTTAAAAATAAAACACGCACACACACAGTAGCAGTAAGAAGTGCTCTCTCTTTCTCCGCTTGTGTTTTGAACTTTGAACTTTGAAAAGAGAAAAAAGAACACCCACCCGTCGTCGCCCCACATTTAATTCGCCGGAGCAGATTCTGAGAGAGAAATGAAGCCGGCGTCAGAGTACATGATAAGACTCTCCCGCTACAGAAGCACCCTCTGATTCCGGAAAGGGGGTGTTTTGTAGATATTTTTGCCTTCTATTATTATTTAGGATCCTGGGATTTGGAGAATGGAGTCCGGTCAGAAGAGCCAGGCGAAGCTTACTAGGACTCAGTCTTCACTTCTCCGGTCATCTCCCACCGTCCGATCATCCATCCACAGCTTAGCTTCCCTCAACGAGATCACACCTGATCAGGATGATTACCATGACCTCGAAGAACAAAAGCCTCACTCCCCGCCCGGTTCTGCCCGCCGTTCCACTCGACTCGTTTCCGGTCCGTCTCGGTTCGCTCCGGTTCTCGTCCTTTCTTTGCTAGCTTTGTATTCCCTTTTCGTTTTCGTCAACGCCGATGACATATTTACCTCCGAAAACCTCCTCTTAGCTCTTATCTTGGTTGCGGTTTTGCTTTTCTTTGCTCAAAGGAATCGGGTGCGGATCCATCGAAGCTTCAGCTTTGTGCGCCAATGTTTTGATGAGTATGGAAGGAAATTTGGATTTTCACGACACCAATCCAAACCAGTCCAATGGTTCATCGGGGAGCAGCCTGATTATGATTGCGGCGGCCAGGCTCAAAATGACCTTATTAAATTAAAGAAGAAAAGTATCAAGGAAGGGGTGGAGTTCTATAGTAACGGGGATTTCTATGAAGGGGAATTTCACCAGGGAAGATGCAATGGCAGCGGAGTATATTATTATTTTGGGAATGGCAGGTATGAAGGGGATTGGATTGATGGGAAATATGATGGCTACGGTATTGAAAGTTGGGCTAGAGGGAGTAGGTTCAGAGGGCAGTATAGAAACGGTTTGAGGCATGGTTATGGAGTTTATAGGTTTTATACCGGGGATGCTTATTCTGGGGAATGGTTTAACGGCCAGAGTCATGGTATTGGAATGCAAACTTGCTCCGATGGCAGCTGTTACATTGGTGAATTCAAAAATGGTGTCAAACATGGCATTGGTGTCTACCATTTTAGGTGAGTTCACTTTTAATTCCTGGGATTTCTTTAAATTCTCTGTTTTGGGTGTAGTAGCTCTATTAAGATGTTGCAGTCTCTTTGGTGATTCTAAAATTAACAGTCAGGGCCCTTTCAATTCTTATTTGTTCCAAGTTAAAATTATGGGAATTCGTGATTCCGTTATTCGGTAATGAGGATACATCATTTTGTTGTCTGAACAATTAAGTCAAGGCCGTATAGATATGGAAAATATTTTGTCTATTCAGAATTTCGGATTGGTAATGAAGGGCACTTGTGTTTGTTTTTCAATAAGAATCAGAATCAGCATGATCCTGCCACAGATGTGAGAGAACAGTTTAGTCAAGTGTGCTACTGATATGGAGGATTTTTTGACTATGTTGGGATTAAAAATAATGAGGGATTTGGTGTTAATTTCTTCAGTAGGAACATCTTGATCCTGCTACAGATGAGGAAACTGGTGATTGTGTGTGGAAGTAGATGAGGTTTCGTTGTTCCTTTTTTGGGTATATCATCTACATGGTGGGAATTGTGTGACGTTGACTTAAAATTGTTAGGAAGTGGGTGAGGGATTTGCACCTACTCTTTCCTGCTTTTCTAGTAACCTTAGATGTTTTTCACTCTTCAAGTTGCCTTGCATCGTGGTCTCTGATGTGCTCCTCCTGTCATTCATCTTGAACGTCAGAGTATCAGTTTTCACTTCAAATTTGATTCAGTTAGCATGCATGCTTTGATCTAGCAGAGAGAGTCTGAAATTCTGTCCACTTCTAATTTAGAGATATGACATTTGTTGCTATGCTTTAGTAACGGAGAATGTATTTGGTTGTTCTACAGGAACGGGGATAGGTATGCCGGTGAATACTTTGGTGATAAAATTCATGGTTTTGGTGTTTATCATTTTGCAAATGGCCATTGTTATGAGGGATCATGGCATGAAGGCAGGAAACAAGGTTATGGCAATTACATCTTCAGAAATGGTGACAGGAAATGTGGGGAATGGGATGGTGGCAACCTTAAAGCTGCCTTACCTCCATCAAGTGATGCAGTCCTTCGAGCAGTGCATGTAACTTTCTGATCACTACTCTTTGGTCAACAATGACAGTTGATTCCTATTTGAAGTTAAAATCTCCAAGTCTAACAATGTTATCTTACAGTAATTAATTTTCTGTCAAATTTGCAGGCTGCTAGAAAAACTGCTGAGAAATCGATTCATATTCGCGCGGTAGATGAACAAGTAAACAAGGCAGTAATGGCTGCAAACAGAGCCGCAACTGCCGCAAGAGTGGCTGCAGTTAAAGCAGTGCAAAACAGGATAGACGGAAAATTTTGTGAGACTACTTTTTGAAGAGTTCCTGACGTGCATGTATAGTTTTACAACTAGTAGCTAATTAGATTTGTACTACAAATCTGAGCCATCCCTATGAGCAAAAGCTCTTGGAGGAGGTAGATGAAGTTTGAGTTTAATCTTTCTGATTAACCACACTGTTGCTTAACTTGTATATACTCCAGTTGTACATGAAGTCAGCAATGGAAATGCATCAATTTTTGGAAAGCGCTTCCCAAAGTTTATATCCACTTGCACTGTGTTGTGTTTCAGTTGAAAAAAAAAAAGCAGGATAGAATGAAAATGCATTATTGTGTTTCATTTTTGGTTTGGGTGGAATTATGAGAACATGGTGCTTATCCCAGCTTGTCTCTTGGCATCATCATACATCAGTCATCTTTACGTTAGATCTATCTCCATCTGGTGGGTACACATTGGACAGGGTAGTTTGATTTCTTTATTCTGATTTTTTTTTTTAAAAAAATTAATTCTATCATCTCTTATCTGGATTGAAACAAAATAGATAGATAGATAGATTGCAACATCGGACTCATCTTCTTGTTTGAATTCTGAAACTATGTTAAGAAAGTCTCCAAACTAATCGAATGCAAGTTCCTGATGATGTATATAGAGAATCCAACATTGACAAAATGGTTTCACTCTAATTTGGTTAACACGATCTCCAACATCTAGTCCCTTCATCCATTGCTTTATGGAATCATTGCCAAACTATTTTTTTAACGTTCTTGAGATCTATGTTGTCCGGTGAATCACTACAAAACAAACATTTCCTGTGTGCAAATGATCTTGTACTGCCTTCCGACCATACTATATATTATCTTATGTCAAGAGGCTCGGCAGCAGTAACGTGAGAAGACATGAAGAATCTTTGCTCCATCGAGAGCTGTCTTTTTGGGACTTGTCTTCTGCTTGACCATAATTTTATCAATATCGATTCTTTTTCAATGTTAATTTCAAGGGTAAGTATCATTCTGTCTCAGAATATGAGTCTTATTTTTAGATTCTTATTCTAGGATGGAGACATACATCATCTAAGAGAAACTCTGAAGTTAATGTTGCGTTTGAACTATTTCTTTAAATGGATTGCAGGTTTCAAAGCTCTTTTGCACACTTTGAAAATTCTGGAACACAAGACACTTGCACCTTATTTACTCATGGGATTTTAAATTGGTAGGGCAGTCTGTTGCTTATCTAAATATGTACGTTCTGAACTTTGCATGTTTTGGCTAAGAATCACTTAGGAATCTCACAAACTGAGTTAGTTTCTAAAAGACAGATGATTCTGCTTCGTGATATTCGCGCAAATTCTTATGGAATGATGGGAGATAAGGAAAAGTTTCTACAAGTTATGGCTCCTTAGGGAAATTTTGCTTCCTTGTGCCATTGTTTTTCCATGAGTTCAATGGAGTTGAAGCCGAATTAAGTTATCCATTCTGCAACAAATTCTAGCGGATGATTTGGTAACCCATTTTTGCTATGGCGCATCTATGGTTCTGACGCAGGCGGAAGCCTAATATCAATCGGACGATCCTAAAATAATCACCAACGAGTATGGAACAATCGAATTCGAGGCTTATCACGGAATCGCCAACACGATAGAACAAAACCCGATTAGAGTTAATCACCTCTTACACAATTATAAACAATATGGAACAATCGCAGAATAGGACCTAATCACAAATCACCAACCTTATGGAACAAAACACGATTAGAATTAATCAATCCCACCAACAATAATGGAATTGGAAAAACTAACTTTTGAGAAAGAATCTCTTGTTAATCAATCAAAAAACAACCGAGTTACAATGTACTGCCAAATACCTTTAAATAAGAAAATTGCATAAAACTAAAACCCTAAGTAAACTAATTAAAATTACAAAAATAACCTTAAAGAAATCCTAATCCCTAGCCATATTATTTCAATCGTCGTAATCTTATTGCAGCAGCCTAGCCTCCATCACTCTCTCCCGCTGGAAAAAAAATCTCGTCCTCGAGATTAGCTTTGCTCGGATCAAACGGGAAGTGAGTTGAGTCCATACATTGTTGGTGTCGTTGCATCCTCAATGATAGAATATATATAATCACGGAAACTCTAATTAAGATTCACGATATAATCGGCTAGGGTTGTGACTTTATGTACTATAAATACCATGATGTACAATGTAAATAACACACACAATTATTCTTTCATGGTATCACCTGTTCCTTCCTGACTTTTCAAAATTTAGGATCTCCCCGGCCGCCTCCTTTAAGAGTGCTGCTGCCCTTTCTTCTTCTTCGTCAAAACCCAAAATAATTTTTTTTCCGGTCAACTGTGTCTTCATCAATTTTTTTTTTCGATTTCTGTCTTCATCAAACCTTCTGTTCCGCTTTGCTTCGGATTCGGTTTTGGCTTCCTGCTGTGTCACCTCTCTAGTTCGGTTTCGGGTTCTGCTTTCTTAGCCGGTTTTTGTTAACCTTATGTCTTTAGATTCGGTTTTTGTTAGTCGCGTTGCCTTTTTCGATTGTGGTTCCTGCGTCCCTCACAAACCTTGTGCTTTCTGCTAGTTGCGTTTGCCTTTAGATTGCAGGTTTTCAAAGAAAAAAAAAATCAGTCCTTCTTCTCTTGCCGTTGCCCAGCCCCCTGCTGCTATGGCAAACTCGGCAGATTCTGTTGTCTCAGGCACCCCCTCATCCGATACCCTGCACACCACACCTCCTACTTCCGGCCTTCCTTCCTCTCTGATACCATCTCATCCGGCTATTGGTCTATCCAACATAAAAAATTACGTCACCCTTGTGCTTGATTTCACGAATTACATGCTCTAGAAAGAGTTTTTCCTTCCTGTCTTTCGCAGCCATGCCGTGATTGGTCACATCGATGGCTCTGATCCTTGTCCTCCGTCAACTCTCCCTGCCTCTAACTGCTCTCCACTCCTAGCTTCCAATTTAAACATCCTTCTTTTCTTGTTCCACGATCCCTTCCTGCTACAATACCCTCTACTATGGCACCTCCAACTCCTGAACAACAAGTGTCATCTGTTCCCTTAGTATCTTCAGAGCCTACACCCTCTCCTTCACAAAATAATTTGGATCCTCCCCCATTCTACCCTCCCACTCATCCTATGGTCACCCGCACTTGGGATGACACACGTAAACCTAAACATATCCTTTCTCTTACTACTACTACATCTTCTTCACTTCCACCTGAACCCAAATCCTTCACTGAAGCAAATAAATACCCTGAATGGCATGCTGCTATGAGTGATGAATATAATGCTCTCCTCACCAATAATACATGGGATTTAGTTCCCCCTCCTGTTTCTGCTAACATTATCGGCTCCAAATGGATTTTCCAAGTTAAGCTTAAATCCGATGGTTCTCTTGATCGATGTAAAGTACGTTTGGTTGTTCAAGGCTATAATCAGAAGCTTGATCTCGATTATGATCAAATGTTTAGTTCGGTGGTTAAACCAGTGACAATTCAGGCTGTCTTAAGTATTGTTGCTTCTCATAAATGGCCCGTCCATCAGTTGGATGTTAAAAATGCATTTTGCATGGCCATCTTAATGAAATTGTCTACATGACACAGCCTACTGGTTTTGTTCATCCGGATCATCCTCACTATGTTTGTCGATTGAACAAAGCTCTCTTTATGGCTTAACGCAGGCTCCCAGGGCTTGGTTTCACCGATTTACTGCCTTCTTGTTTTCTCAGGGTTTTAAAGGCAGTCGCTCCGATTCTTCTATGTTTGTGTACTCTGCTGGGTCGGACATGGCTATTTTGTTACTTTATGTTGATGACATTCTCTTGACAGCATCCAGTACTCGTCTCCTTACTACTCTTATTCAGTCACTGAAAGGTGCTTTTGCCATAACGGATCTTGGCCCTATCAGCTATTTTCTTGGTATCTCTGTTGCTCCTCACTCTGGTGGTTGGTTTTTAAATCAACGCAAATATGCTGAGGAGTTATTAGCTCGCAGTCGTCTCACCGATGCTAATCCTATTGCCACTCCCCTTGCTCCAGCTTTTCATTTCTCTGTGGATGAGCCCCCGCTTTTTCACAATCCGACTCTCTATCGGAGCTTGGTGGGTGCCTTACAGTATCTGACCTTCACCAGACTCGACATTCAGTATGCCGTTAATCTTGTCTGTCAGCATATGCATGATCCTCGTGAGCAGCATTTTCAGGCGGTCAAACGCATTCTCCGCTACATTAAGGGCACACTTCACTATGGCATTCATCTCTGTGCTGGCCCTCTTGATCACCTTGTAACGTACTCTGATGCTGATTGGGCTGGATGTCCTACCACTTGTCGCTCTACAACTGGTTTCTGTGTCTTTTCTGGTTCATCTCTGATTTCTTGGTCCTCCAAGAAACAATCTACCGTCTCTCGATCGTCTGCTGAGTCTGAGTATCGTGCGGTTGCTTCTACATTGGTTGAAACCATTTGGCTAGAAAATCTCCTGTCTGAACATCATATCAAGCTTCCGCAACACCCGTTCATCTTGTGTGATAATGTATGTGCCACATACCTAGTTGCAAATCCGGTTAATCATGCTCGCACCAAACATATTGGTCTAGACATTCATTTTGTTCGCGAACGTGTTACTGCTGGTCTTCTTCGTGTTCTTCATATCTCCACACAGTCCCAGCTTGCAGATGTCTTTACAAAATCATTAGCAAAGGATAAATTTTATTCGTTTAGAACTAATCTAGGCATGATTACTTCTCCAGCTACGATTGCGGGGGGATGATAGAATATATATAATCACGAAAACCCTAATTAGGGTTTCAGATATAGTCGGCTAGGGTTGTAACTTTATCTACTATAAATACCATGATGTACAACGTAAATAACACACACAATTATTCTTTCACTGAAAGCAAAAAGAAAAAGGTCCGACCAATTTGCGAAAACTCCATTAATCATGAATGGATTTTTAGACATCAAAACCAAACTCCGAATATAAAATTGAACATCTAGCACAACCAAAAAATCAGGTTTGGACAGAACATCAGTTGAAAATTTCAAACTTTGGCCAGGGATGTATTGCTGGTGTTTTTTCAGACTTTGGCTAGGGATGTATTGCTGGTATTTTCCGTCGACTTGATTGTCGTTAAGGATAAAGTCGACAGAGATGTCGACGACATTAAAACATAACTAAGAATTAATAATTTTTTGAATAATTTTGGTTTTGAAAATTTGATACTATGTATGAATTTAAATGTTTTACGCATATGAAATTTTCTCGTAGCAATATTAAAATATGGTTATGGGGAACCGAAATGGACAACTATTACGAAAAGTTGTGATTTCTTGATTAATAAATGAGTAGACTCATATTAAGTGTTTTTGTCTTGTGAGTCAAGTGACAAGATACAAACTAAAGTTGTGTCTACTGAGTTTAAGTGAGAAGACACAAATGAAAGGATGTG